TTTTTCTAAGATAAGAATCTAATGATCTCTGAAGCCTGAGTATTCTCATACACTTGGGAAATCTTAAGCTTTGCTCCAGGCTATGCCAGAAAAGCAAACTTTCTCCAAACTACTGGTTCTATGGCCACCCTTCCTTCATAGCCCCAGACAGAGAATGAGATAGAGAGATAATAAGGTCCCACACGTTTTCTCTTTCTGAGAGTGCATATATTTCATCCATGAAGATTCCAAATATAACAGCTGGATTATTGCAGTTGCTGTGTCATGTTAGCAAGGAGTTGAAGAAAAAAGAGAAGTCAGTAATCTTGCCAAATAGGTTGACTTAATATATGTAAGTCAACTAATGGGATATCTTGCATGGCTTAGACCCCCTTCCCCAATCTCCTAGCGGTGCCATACCAGGATGGCAAGTGGAGAGAAAATCTGTGTGCCTGAGGGAGGGAGAGTGAAGTGATTGTGGGACTTTGCACTGAAACTCAGGGCTGCTTATCACAGGGGAACGCAGCATAGGGCAGAAATCTGCCACTGCCCACAGACAAAGCATTTTGACTAGCCTGGCCAGAGGAAAATCCTCTGCACCAAAACCTGAATTCCAGCTAGCCCCACCACTGGCTGACAAAAAGCAGACTGGAAGCTGGCTGAATTTGTCTTTTTTCCATTTTTCTGTCAGGTTATTGGTTTTTTTTTTCTTTCCATTGATTTTTAAGAGTCTTGTAAATAATTAGAAAGACTATCCTTTATCTGTGAAATACGCTATAAATATTTTCTCCTTATTTGTCATTTATCTTTTCACTTTATTTATCATGCTTTGTTTTGTTTTGCATTATTTAGTCAACTTATTGATTTTTTTTCTTTAATTGTATCTTAATTTGCAGTCTTGGATAAGAAAACTTTTCCAATGCCCAGAAATTCAGCCATGTTTTCTGCTAGTACTTGGATAGTTTTATTGTTTTATATTTTAATCATCAGTAGTCCATTTAGTATGGCATAAGATATCTTTTCCCAAATGACAGACTAGTTTTTTTAAAGTAATTACTCCAGTGATTTTAAATTATGTCCTTATCATCTATTATCATATGAATTTTCAATAATAGCTAGAAAACTACAGGAAAAAATGAGAAATATTTAATTAAAACATAAAGCTTCTATAATTAAAGTAGTGTAGCATTGGTACAGAAATTAAGAAATAGACCAATGGAATATAATTCAAAGTCAAACTATAATAGAGATGAACAAAAAGACCACAACCAGGTCTGAATTTCCAACTTACAGAGGTGATCAATGAAATGATGGAAGTGGATGAAATTTTTGCATAATAAACTACCCTAAAACTTACTGGCTTAAAGCAACCATTTTATTTTAGTACATCTTCTGACTTCATGTGTCAAGAATTCAGGCAAGGCTTAGCTAGACCATACTTCTGCTCCACGTGGTATTCATAGGATAGTATTCAGCTGGCAGATGGACTTATTTGTAAGGTCCCAAATGGCTTCACCTACATTGATGAGGATGGATGGATAGATGGATGGATGGATGGATGGATGGATGAATGGGCTCAGCTGGGACTGTCTTCCATAGCCTCTCAGTCATAGACACTTCATGGTAATGGGCGTCTTAGATGGCAGCTCAGGCTTTATGACAGAGCCCAAGGTGGAAGGTGCAAGGCCTTATCTGATCCAGCCTCAGAATTCACCCATTTTCTCCTCTGCCATACTCTATTGGTAATGACCAAGTCACTGGTCTAGCTCAGATTCAAGGTGAAGCTATAAGTTCCAGGAAATATGTTGCACTGGGGTGGGAGCATATCCTTGGAAACTGGATACTATAAAAGTCAAGAAAGGTGTTGAAAAACTATATTGCAAAAGAAATCTTAGAGAATTCCTATATCAATAATGGGCAGGGTGGAAAGAATTATGTGTCCAGTTCATTATGAATGGGTGAAAGACTTGTTACCCAAGTTGCATGAATTTAATGCACATGATTTGAGCAGCTTGGCTCCACACAAAGTGAGAGAAGACACAAGGAGGAGATGGACAAATAAGGAAAATATAAAGCAGCTAAAGGATAGAATATCAAAAGATGTCCTAAAGAAAATGCAAAGAAGAAATGATGACAAATCCATATCAGATACACAGGCTCGTTTCCTAGAGAGAAAGCAACAGATGACCCAGGACCAAAGTGACTCACTGAAGGAAACAAGCTAAATGGCGAACTCTCCAATTCAGGAAGTAGGAAAAGCAGCCAGGAGATGTGCTTCTACTTTGCCAGTTATTTCAGACAACACTGCCAAGAGGAAGTGGTCAGCAGCTGTTATTAGCCTATGTGCTAAAAGCAAATCAAAGCTCATAAATCAAAACTCATCAATACTAATAAATGGAATTTAAAAAAAAGATCAAAATACTTTATATGAGAAAGTATATAAAGCTTACTCAACAAAAAGGCCACAGAAAGGAATCATGAGAAACTGTATGGTAGTGGATAATTTAGGGAGTACAGCAAAAATAAACAATGGTCCACCTTATCTCAGGATGAATAGGAGCATGAAGTATGAAGACTGTGAAGAGGCAATAGAATTATTTGTTAATGAAGAGATCACTTGTAATTTATAGCAAGGTATTTGTGTAAAGTGATGATTAATACTTGTAAAGTCAAATAATCAAAGGCTGTGAGTAGAAAATGAAAGATGGAGTAATTATGCTCTTTCTTTACCATGTTTAAAAGATAAAAATATAAAACCCTAAAGTTCTAAAAAATTATCTTTAGGTAAGACTCAAGTTACTCAATATATCCTTATCATTGGCTCCATCTAAACACTTTTTAAAAAGGATTGTTCCTATGGTCTTTCCAACAAGTTTGGAAGAAGAATATAGAGAACGGAATGAAAAATTCAATAGATATTTAGAACCACTGGTAACTAATCTGCATTTAATTATGCCCTACTATGAAATGATGATATCAAGTGGGCAATAAGCAAAAATGGCAACAATAAATATTTATTGAATATCTATTATGTGTGACCACTATATACTAGATGTAAAAAATAAGCCAAAATGTTTTGCCACATGAATTGTAAGAAGCAAGTGATATGTATATTATGCATCTCTTAACACACATTAGATCGAGGCATTAGGATTTACTATCACAAATAGATTACCCATCTTTTATTAGATCAGTTCTGAAATGACATTCAGAGGCTTTTCCTACTACTATAATATTCCCATGCCACTGGCCTCTGGTATAGTGTGGAAGAGCTTAGGATGGAGTTGGTGCAAAATAGAGGGATCACACATAAATTCTGAGGAGCTTATAAAACCAGCTTATTTAAATGTGAAATATTCAGTCAATCAAGCAAATGTTTCTTCTAAATCAGGAGTAGACATTAAGTTACCTGAATAAAATGCCCATAACTTTTCCTTCCATTAGAGAGGTAATATTATAGAAAGTTTTAATGTGATTTTTCTCTTTTGTCTTTCTAGACCATTGGAAATATCCATCTGCTTGAGTGAAGATTGGCTTCTGTCTCAGAAGAAAAGCAAAGTAAATGGATAAGATAATATTCAGACTTTGGCATGTCAAATTCCTGTCTGCAAAAAGAATTTTCTACTTTCTTTTTCCTTCCACCAACCCTCTAAATTTATCATAACAGCAAATAAGCATGAATGACTCAGATCATAAAGTATTCTCACAGTGTAGAGCATATTGCCCTTCTAGTGATCCATGTTTGAAGAAGCAGATGATGTAGGATAAGCAAAAGAAAATCCCAGTTTTCCTAGCACTAGAGCAGAAGAGAGCAAAGGAAGAAAGAGTAACTCTTTCTCCTACTTTCCCTCTTGGACTCTCTGCCTAAAGAGAAAGGAGATATGTTAGGTACGTAAGAGAGAGAAGAGAGAGGGCAAAGGGAGCTCCTTCTGTTAGTAACTGGCTACTGCCACCCTATAGTAACCTTAATGCAGGGGTCCTCAAACTTTTTAAGCAAGGAGCCAGTTCACTGTCCCTCAGACCGTTGGAGGGCCATTGGAGAGTGTGGCGCACATTCCACAATGGTCTGAGGCACTGTGGGCCTGGGACAAGTGGCTGCTAAGCAGGACAGGCAGAGGTGGCAAAAATACCCAGCAGGCCGAATAAATGTCCTTGGCGGGCCACATGTGGCCCGCAGGCTGTAGTTTGAGGACACCTGCCTTAATGTACAGCATGGATGGCCCTGGGGTTAACTTACTAAGTCGATGTTGGTCCCTGAGCAGCACCGATCAAGGTCAGGAATGGAGAGAATCGCTGGGAAGTTTCCATAGAGAAGCCTCCCTAGTGAAGGGAGCAGAGAAGATCACTCCAGATAGGGTTAGATACAAGTCACATCAGATCTCAGGGTGTGTGGGGGGGAATCTATAGTGCTATGGGGTATCAGAAGAGGCCAAATCATCCAGGAGCACCACTGGGCCTAGATCACTAAAAAGCCAGCAAGGCAAGTAGCCACCAAATGGACAGAAAGCACTATCCTTGAAGTTAGTCAGTAGTGCTATGGCTAAAGACCTCGACTCTCCCTGTTTATCACAAGCTTGCATAAATGCTCACCTCCCCATGATGCCCCTCTAGCTACACACACTGTATCAGAGAATATTCTGGAATGGGGGAGAAGACTGAGAAATCTGGGAGATTGAGGTTTTCTTCCTTGACGACTCGAGCATTACTTGAAGGGGCTGTTTAAATTATCCAATAAAACTAATTTTAAAACAACTTGAACCTTTAGTTCTTTTCCTGTAAAAATCAGAGGAAAGGAATTTGTGAAGAAGGTCAGAGTTTCCAGAGACAACATTTAAAATGAGATCGCTATACAGGCAGGTGTCAGGTTTCAATAAGAAATAAACATTTTCAACATCCTATATCTCTGTGTGGAAAAATTTTCATAAAGTGTTGGACATACATGTGACCAAAAAAAAAAGGTTGGAAGAAGTATGCAAAAAAGGGGAAAGCAATAAAATATGTTTTTATTTGATTGTACTTACATTTGATATTGCAAAGTGTTTTGTAACATGTGGACATGTATGTGATAATCTCCCAGCCTTTACTGCTGAATCTCTCTCCTCAGTAGATACTAACCACAAATCAGCAAACAGTGCAATCTGAAATCATGTAATTATTTCTTATCCTAAAGAGTTCCATTCAAGGCTGGTGTTAGCTAAAGAGAAAGAATAAGAATCTCATAAAATAAGGTAGGCTTTTAAGGCTAACAATTCATAGACTCACTAAACTTCAAATAACTATCCCAGAAGAATCTTGATATGTAGCAAGCAAATGCTTCTCCATCCACAAATCTGTATTTAAAAGGACTCAATGTAAAGGGTAAGGTATGATTAAAATATATCATAATAAGAATTCTGGTGTTCTAGAAAAGAAACTCTTGACAGAAAAAAAAATTAGAAGAACATATAAAACAGAAGAATACCAATAAACCATTATTACTCCTGATAGAAAACTCAGTGGTTTATTAGTCTTCATTCCTGGGAGTTTATATAGCTCATAAAAATTTTTCAATCAGTATCCTTTTCAGATTATATATTGCTAAGGTTACCACAAAGAAATACAATTAAACTTACTATCACTCAGGTAATCTTCTGGTCATACAAAATTTATCAATGCTTAGGCAATAGTAAAATACTGAGGATAGTAGAACATGTCTAGTGTATTAGTGGATCTCAAAGACACAAGAGTGCTAGGACAGAAATAAAATTCTAAAAATAAATAAATAAAACTATAGTGCATTTCTCGTGGAATATATATATACTAATTTACTCCCAGATTATAAACACCCAATTCTAAAATATGTAGGGAGGGATAAGAATATAGTCAGGAAGATAATACTATTATATGCATGGTTTTATGCCAGGCACTGTATGATGACACACAGATTAATTCAATCTTACATTCAAGGAGAAACTCTATCCTATCAGGAGGAGATGTATAAAATAACCAAGACAGGAAGTTGATGTTATGGGGTTCACAGGAGTGTAGAAAGTGATCACTCTTAAACTGGAACAATGCAAAGAGGATAATGGATGAAACAGAACTTAGCAAGTTATTAACTGCCTTAAAAAAATGGAGAGGGAAACACAGTAGATAGAAGAAACATGAGTAAAAACTTAGATGTAGGAAAGTTGAAAGTGCACATTCTCACCTGGAATGTAGCAGCTACCTCATAATAAGGATGGAGGGAGGGAAGTAAAGGGGAAGGAAGGAAGGAAGGAAGGAAGGAAGGAAGGAAGGAAGGAAGGAAGGAAGGAAGGAAGGGAGGGAGGGAAGATCAAAATAGAGAAAAAGCATGGAGCAGAAACATAGTTTAAAATAACTAGAATTATAACTTCTGAGATCTAATAGGTGAGGCTGTATACATAAAACAAAAATAGAATGCTACTTTTAAAAGAGTGAAAGAATGTTAGCTTTTTAGTTTTATAGTAGTACTATCCTATATTTTTGTAAGATGTTAACATTAGGGGAAGCTGGGTGAAAGGTATACCAGAACTTACTATACTCTTTTTGTAACTCTTATAAAATTATTTAAAATTGTATTCTAAAATTTTAAAAATTCTGAAGCAAAGAAAGGAAAGAATATAGGAATTGAATATTATTTCAAGTTTTTTCTTCTTCAAATATAGAAATGCCTGTGTGTTTGTGTGTGTATGCATGTGTATATATGATACATGTATGTTAACATTTGAAAATCTTAATAGTTTGGAAGACAAATGTGATGAAATTCTCAGAAAGTAGAACAAAAAGGCAGAGGTGAACACTTCCCTTCCCTCCCTGGCATGGAGAAATTTGGAATAGGGAAGGGAAGGATCACCAGCATCATTTCTATGGCGCTCAAGGATGCAAAGCACTGAAGGAGAAGCAGTATGGAGGCTTCTCAAGACAGGTCTGTATCATGCCCACTGGCAGTCAAGGATGTCAGATGCCCAAGCACTTTGGGGTAGTGAAAGGGATGAGATGGCAAGCAGAGGAGTCAGCTGCCAATGTTGAGGGACTTTTAACATAGATAAATTGATTAAGCAAATAAGCAAAGACTGTGAAGAACAATAGCTAGGTTTTTCACTGTTGGAGAAACAGTGGAAAGGGAAAGGCTAAGAAGAACTTTTATCATTTGGATAAAATTAAAGGTGTTAGCATGAACTCATGATTTTTGAATACATATGTTATTGCATACCGACATAACTAGAAAGGGCAGTGAGTATAGCAAGTAGTCAGATCTTGGTTTCCAATTACCATCCTCCACTAAAGGAAACCAGGGCTTCTTGGAGAAATGGCTGATTCCAAGGCAGAGGCAAGGGCAGTACCAGATGAGCTGCAGACATCCTGTGGTGCCAGACCATTGCTCTCTTATACAAAAATGATGAGAATACAGCAAAAGACATAGGAGCCACTTTGAAGTTGCTCCTACTGGCCTAATCTGGGCCAATTTGAACATCAAATATAGCTAATTGCAGCCCAATGAATAAAATAGAAATACATGAAGTTCATAGTGATACAAATAAGTAAATGAATAAATAAATGGCAAAGAAGGGAAAGCTTTCATTACAGTAGAATAACAGAACGACAGTTGAGTGTTTCAAAAACAGTGAAAATAGAAATCACCATTATATAATAATCACAGTAATAGTTAATTCAGCCATAGGTGTGGGCTGGGAGAAAGGCATCAGTTCAACAAAGAGTATGGGCCACCCTTGTACAGCTTCATTATGCCCTCTTTTGCCTCAATTTGGGATGGACCAATTCCATCTTACTGTGGATTGCTCCTGGATCTACTCAACCTTTTCAAATCATGAGTCTGACAGAAGCCACTTTGTGATGGATATTTCTGGCCACATATTTCCTTGGTGTCCCAGGGTCAAGCAGTTCAACTGTACCAGTGCCTAGTAACATGCCAGGAATTGTTATTGAAAATGTAGTTTTCCACTATAGATGGCAAGACCATTGTGATCCTTCTATTGACAGGGACTTGTCATAAACCTCAGAGAAAATCTTTCCTCATCACAGAAATTTCTAACACCATAGGCTCTTCCGAGTTGTAGACCCCTTCTCACTCTCACAACTACTTCTAGTAAGATTCTTGCTTGCCTCTGCTCATGTTCTTCTTCATTGATTAAAAAAACATTTTAAGAATGAGGCAAATAATGGTCCTGCAAAAATGCTCAGTTCACACCTGGAGTCATGAATGCAAATCTGGGGACCAGCTCTAAAACTTAAAAAGGGGTTGTATTTTTCTTTTCTGTGGCACCCCTGGCAGACCACAGATGACTCGGATGATCTGAAGAGAGGTAGATTTCAGCTGGATCTAAGGAAGTACTAATGATCACAGCTGTCAGAAGAAGAAAAGGCCAGCCTCTGTAGATGAAGAGCTCCCTGTTACTGGAAAACCACTTGATGGTTGTCAAACATTAGATGGGAAATTGGACTTTATCAATCTTTGTAACCAAGGATCCAAATCAGAATACCTGGAGAGTTTTTCTTTTAAATCATGTAACCAACACCTGGTGATTCTAATTCTGTAGACCTGGAGGCTTCCCAGGTATTTCTGATGAGCATCCCCTGATAGAAACCTGACCTTGTAGTTTCTTTTAACACAGAGCTCTTGTTTGATTTTGATTGTTGTTGTTTTAATTGGAAATAGAAATTCAAGTGCTAACAACAGGACCTTTAAAATAATATAGATTCAAAATAAAGACTCTAAGTTTTCCCAGGATGAACAGGTAAGTGAGACTTTGGAAAGAGAAAGCAATTATAAATGTAGAAAAAAAAATTTATCTCCAGTCAATATTCTCATTTCTCCTTCTCCTAAACAATTGATTATTCTCTAATGTTGCATGTGATTAGAGATAGTTCAAATGGATAGAAAAAAGCAAATAAGAAAGCAGACAGCTACTCAATAGAAATTTCTGGAGCAAACAAATATGGATAACTATGTCATATTAGATTATATTATTACCTTATGGAGCTGTAATAATTGGCCTCAGTAGAATTTGCTGCATTTGTTGAATTTCCTCTGAAATAGCTTTATTTCTTTATTTCCTGTAAAGGCTAAATAATGTTATAAATAGAATGGACATTGTGCAGTTTAAAATATGCCCCAGAGGAAAACATAAGGAAGTTTAGACAGGGTTGCAATCTTTGAAACTGAGGGGGAAGTATTTTAATGTAGCAATTTTTGTTTGTTTTACAGACCTATAAACATTACAAAATTATAGCTACATTATGCAAGTTTTAAAAGTGAATAAAATATTTCTTCTGATATTTTTCAGAAGATAATGAAAAGAATATATTTTAACCACACTGAATAATAAAGCTGTAAACAGACTGCAGAAATAATTTCTTTCCCAGCTAAATAAAATGGGTATTAGTTTGGAGTCTTGATACAATTTCGTAGTGTCTGAGAACTTCCTAAGGATCTTAATGATGACTGAAGTTCAAAGGTATATGAGATAGACCTTAAATGTTCATCCATTCTCTTAATAGTTAACTAGCCAGGCTTTGGAGACAGAGAGACTTGAATAAATGCCTAAGCTCCTATACTTTTTAACTGTGTGGACTTGCGTATTTGTTCTACCTCATCTCCCTAAGTCAGTCAGCCATTCCACAAATATTTAATGAGAGTACTAAGCACTAAGACTTAATAATTAACAAGGTAGACACTGCCTTATCCTGAAAGCCTTGTGGGATAAGAGCTGAGTGGCAGGAAAGGGGGTAGATCAACTCAGGGACTACAACAGGAAGAAATATATGCATCATGGGAAGGTTGATCTTACACTGAAAACAAATGGAAGGCATTAAAAGATTTTAAATAAGAGAGAAAGATGGCATGATTTGAATTTCAGAAAAAATCATTACTGTCTTATAACACATATCTTTTCCAAAAACCTTATACCTCACGAAAATATTAAACTCACATGAATCAAAATCATTGAAAAATTCATTAAATTGAATCTGTCATAGCTAAAATTTAAAAGAATGGCAATAATAATGGTGTCATGAATGTGAAGCAACCCAAACTCTAATGCATTCCCGTTTTGAGTGTAAAATCATAAAGTTACATTGGAAATCTCAGTTTCTTACAAAGACAAATTACACATGATCTAGAAACTCCACTACTTAGTATTTACCCAAGAAAAATAATATATATCCTCAAATAACACTTATACATGAATGTTTACAGCCTCTTTTTTTTACAATAGAAAAATCTACAAACTATTCTAATAAGTATCAACAGAAGAATGTATAAACAACCCACAAAAAAAGACACAAAATACTATATGCTATGTGATTTCACTGATGTAAAGTTCAATAATTGTCAAAACTAGTATATGATCATATCTATCAAAACAGTGATTGCCTATGAAAATAGGAGTTTTCCTGGAGAGGGGCACAAAAAAATTGGGGAGATTTTGGAAAAGATATATAGTATGGTGGTAGGTAAATGAGTATATACATTCATCAAAACTCATTATTTACATTTCATGCATTTAAATTTTACTTCAAAAAATAGACTGAATTCCTTTACTTAAAGCAGTATTGAGCAAAGAAAAATTAAATCAAAGTTTACCAGTTCACATTTTTTAAAAAGCCATGTTAAGAAAGCCTTCCATCATAGGGGTCCTTCCTTTGTTTCCTCATCCTGAAAACTAGAAACTTACTTATAATAATCAGATAACACTTGACATATATTTTATAATAAGATGCACAACTCATCTTTACTTTTAGAGAACTATAAAGGTTAAACAACAAGTTCTGACACAAGTCCTGCATTCTATTAATATCTTGCAGAGGAAGCCGAGGGACAAGTTCTCACCTGATCAGAATCCTCTATTATGTGTTCATATTGCTTGTCTTTTCTGACATGGACTGAGTTTCTGTGTTATTCTCCAAGGTCCAGAATGCTGACTACTGACAGTTACTTAGCTTTCCTTTTTATCTAGGGAAACGACTGCATGAACCTACAGCTCTGGAAAATGAGTTCAGTAGAATCAACAAAGTTGTATGCCAGTGGTTATGTCTGTCAACTCTGTACCTGAAAATGAGCAGGTGACAGAGGAGCAGAGTCCTTAGTGAGAAGATGTTCTTCCTGCTTGGAAGGTAAATCTGCCATTTCTTCGATGACCCTTTTAATGCTGGCAAAAACAGGTTGAGTATTACTTCCGTGAAATGCTTGGGACCAGAAGTGTTTTGGATTTCAGATTTTTTTTTTTTATTTGGGAATATTTGCATATACATAATGAGATATCTTGGGCCTAGGACTCAGTCTAAACATGAAATTCATTTATGCTTTATACATACCTTGTATGCACAGCCTGAAGGTAATTTTATACAACATTTTTAGTAATTTGGGGCATGAAACAAAGTTTCTGTACATTGAACCATCAGAAAGTAAAGGTGTCACCATCTCAGTCACCCATTTGGACATTCTGTGGGTGCTTGTTCTCACCGTCATTCCTGACTCTGGATTTATCTGTTACCAATAAGCAACGATTTTCTTACACTTATTCACACATACCTGCTTAGCAGTAAAAATCATGACATTACTACAGTGAAAAAATAATGTGTTCCTGGTAACTAAGCAACATGGTAGCATCTCTAGAACATCTGTGTCTGCTGTTAAACAACAGCAACAACAAAACATGTCAGGCTTTCAGGCTTTACCTATGATGATGTGTTTTGATTAAAAGGTGACTATACAAGGGGCTTTCAAAAAGTTTGCAGAAAAGTAGAATTAAAAGATAAAAATAAAAAATATAAATTTTATTTCCCAAGATAAGCTCCAACAAGTTCAAGACACTTTTGTAAGTGATGATATCAGCCCTTTAGTCCAAGAACTGAGGGTCCTGGGAATTTAACCATGTCAAGTCATTTTTACGTTATTACCTTTAAGAAAAATGGGAGCCCTTACAGATTTTTTTAAGATGGGAAATGAAAAGAAGTCAGAAGGAGAAAAATTAGGACTGTAAGGTGGATGCCTAATGATTTTCCACTGAAACTCTTGCAAAATTGTCCTTGGCTGATGAAAAGAGTGAGCACAAGCATTGTAGTGATTGAAAGGACTCTCTGATGAAGCTTTCCAAGGTATTTTTCTGCTATAAAGCTTTGGCTGACTTTCCTAAAACACTCTTATAATAAGGAGATATTATTGTTTGTTGGCCCTCCAGAAGGTCAACAGCAAAACGGCTGCTCTTTATTGGTGTGCTTTTTGCTCTGACTAGGCCATTTCCACCACTTGGCACCCATGGCTTGGCCTTCGGGATCATACTGGGAAAGTCATGTTTCATCTCCTGTTACAATTCTTTGAAGAAATGCTTCGGGATCTTGATCAAACTTACTCAAAATTTCAATTGAAAGCTCTGCTCTTGTCTGCAGCTTATCTGGGCACAACAGTTTGAGCAATAATTAAGTGGGAATTTTGTTCAACTTTAATTTTTTTTTTAATCAGAATTGGATAAGCTGAACCAATTCAGATATCTATGGTGGTGGCTACTATTTTGGCTGTTAAGTTTTGATCCTCTTCAATTAGGCCAGGAACAAGATGAATTTTTTGCTTGCAAATTGATGTGGATGATCTCCTGCTAAAGGCTTCATCTTCAACATCATCGTGTCCCTTCTTAAAATCATTTATCCATTTGCAAACAGCTAATTTCTTTGGGGCATTGTCCCCACAAACTTTTTGTAAAGTGTCAATGATTTTAGCATTTTTTCATCCAAGCTGCACCATAAATTTGATGTTTGTTCTTGCTTACATTTTAGCAAAATTTATGTTGCTCTGATAGAGACTCTTTTCAAACTGATGTTATATCCTTCTTAGTGCTTCCGACTGGATCCTATTCAGACATGTTATAACCAGGTAGTACAAGTTTCTTTTGGTGCAAGGAAATTTTTTTGAAATCCATGTATAGTTTTTTTTTTATATATATATATAATACACACTTTCCATGAGCTTTTTAAAAAATTAGTTAATTTTTTTTATTTCAGAGTATTATGGGGGTACAAATACTTCGGTTACATAAATTGCCTTTGCACTGCCCAACAAGCGTGCCCATCCCCCAGACAGCACTCACCTCATCTGTTAGGTGTAGATTTACCTATCCCAACCTCCCCCCTTCCACCTGCCCAACACCCTGTGAATGTTACCTCCCATAAGTGCATATTAGTGTTGATCAAGTAGTACCATTTTAACATTAAGTATAGTAGTACCAATCAAGTAGTACCATTAACATTGAGTATATGTGTTGTTTGTTTTTTCCATTCTTGTTACACTTCACTTAAAAGAATGGGCTCCAGCTCCATCCAGGATAATACAATAGGTAGTTCATCATTTTTTTTTTTTATGGCTGAGTAGTAGTTCATGGTATACATATACCACGTTTTGTTAATCCACTCATGTATTGATGGACACTTGGGTTGTTTCCACATCTTTGTAATTCTGAATTGTGCTGCTATAAATGTTTGAGTGCAGGTGTCTTTAAAGACCCATTACGCATTGTATTTTCTTTATTACTGCCACTGGTGCATCCGACCTGCACGTGTGCCATTTTATTACCCTTTGTGGGCACACACACTTGCATAGGGGAATCTGGGCATGCATAGGAAATATATATCACAGCTAAAAGGCATTTGGATGGTCTTTTTTCCCTTGGGATGCAGAATAAACTGTGTGTTGTTTTCCTTTGCTTTGAGTGTAACTATCACATGAGGTTAGGTGTAGAATTTTCTACCTGTGGCATCCTATTAGCAATCAAAACATTTCAGATTTTGGGGCATTTCAGATTTTGGATTAGAGAGTCTCAGTCTGTATCCAGGAGTCACAGTAACCATGCCCACCACTGACATTTGCAGTCCAGGGCAGGAGAACAAATAGAGGCTCATTACCATATGCCCAAATATTTAAAAGCCATAAATCAAGCTTTAAAAACTGTTCAATAAAATACCTTTGATCCTTCTGCTTAGACATATATATATTCATAATTACAGAATTAAAACATAAATGGATAGATACATAGATAATACATAGACATACATATATACATAAACCTATGCTTGTTATATGAATGAAAAATAGTAAAATATCATTAAGTAACAATATTATGTGTGTCTGAGTATTCTTGATGAGCCAACAATAACATTACATATTTATTCCATGAAATTAAAATTTCCTTTCAGATCAACAAAACCACTAATTACGCTATTATAACTAAGACTCTCACGTAATTTGTTTTTTTATTAACAACAGTAATCTAAAAGATTAAAAATATCTGTCCAAAGTATACAAAATTTGAATATGTATTTATAAAAATAAAAATTAAAGTAAAAGAAAATAGAATAAAATTATATTTTTATTTTTTAAAAGTTTTATTATTATGAGTACACAATATTTGTACTAGGTAGGGTACATGTGATATTTTGATAATGGCACACAATGTGTATGAATCAAATCAGGGTAGTTGGAGTATCCATAACCTCAGGCATTTATCATTTCTTTGCATTAGAAATATTTAATTCCACTCCTTTAGTTATTTTAAAGTACATCTTAACTCATTGTTGATTGTAGTCACTTTGTTGTGCTATCAAATATTTTTCGTTCTATCTAATTATCTAACTACTTTATTGTACCCATTAACCATCCCTACTTCATTCCTTCCTCCCCACTACTTTCCCCAGCCTCAGGAAACCATCATTCTAATCTCTGTCTTCATGAGATCAATTGTTTTTAATATTTAGCTCTCATATATGAATGATAATATGCAAGATTTGTCTTTCTGTGGTTGGCTTATTTCACTTAATGTAAATGTTCTCTAGTTCTATCTATGCTGTTGCAAATGAAAATATTTCATTCTTTTGTGGCTATATAATATTCCACTGTGTATATGTACCACAATTTCTTTATCCATTGTTCTCTTGATGGACTTGCATTTCATTTTTATGTTTTATTTTGTAAAATATTCAAAATTATCCATTATCATTAAAGGCAAAACACAAATTATAATCAATGCATATTAAAATTTTATATCAAAATAATTTGAATAAATCCAAGTTTTTCATTTTATTTTTTGAAAATTTAATTAAATCTTATTAACTATTTTATAAAAACAAGAGTATTCACAAACCTGGCATTGAAATTCCATCTAGTTGTTAAGTAAAGAATCAGCACCACAATCCTTGATTGTCATGTCTTCACCTATATAGGAACAAATGTAACAGTAACATGAATTACTTAAGTTTGCAAAGTGATTCTCAGACAACATGGGAAACTGTTGTGAACATGAATTAAAACATAAAGAATAGCAATATAATGGGCACTTAGCACTGCTGAGAATGATACTTAGTTTCTGTAAGACGGTATTGTAGTCTTGCTTTTAGATAGAAGGAGTTTGACAAGTTAATTAACTAACTTTGCTTTTATCTAGTATGTGTCCTGCTCAAATCCTTCCTGTGTTGCAAAGTGTTGTCTGATTTTCTGCATAGGCACAACCCAGAAAGCACCACAGAACTCCAAAACAGGGTGCAATGTTTTGCAAACATAGGGTAAGAGAAGTGAAGTGTGTCACACAGCCTGTCACGTGACTCACAAGAGGAGATGGTTAGGGTTGCCAGTCAATTGATACTGAGTGTCAGAGGCACCTCTGTGTCTTTAAATAAATTCATTGTGCGTGTGTTTGTGGTATGTGGGACCTCCTAAAGTTCATAGAACAGAACACAGGCCCTCTAACACTAACCTGAGAGCAATACATATTATTTCAGATCCCACATACACAGTGTTGTAGGTATTAAGTGACATTTATATTTTTAAAAAGTCAAAGCATGTCCTTAATGTAGTATTTTTTAGGCTAGAGGTCTATGAGAACACTAGATCCCAGAGGTGTTAGAGGATGTTCTTTAAAATACAAAAGTTCTGCAGTTAAATGTTAGAAGAACTGCTTGATAGCATCTTGGTTCTTGACAATTCACAATGCACATTATTATACTGTGAGCACAGAGAAGCCCTAAAGGAAGTCCTGTTTAACTTTGTTTCCCTAAAATGTTTGACCAATGAAGCCATTTTTCAACGGAACGGTACTGATACTGATATTTGCTATTGGTTGAACGTGTTTCCCCAAAAGCTCACAGTTTGGAAACTTAATCCCTAATGCAGCAGTGTGGAGAGTTGAGGACTACTAAGAGTTGATTGGGTCGTGTTGAATGAATTAATGTCGTTATCACAGGAGCAGGTTAGTTATTGCCAGAGTTGGTTGTTATAAAAATGAGCTGGGCCCCCAAGTGCTTCCCTCTTTCAAAAGTGCCCACTTGCCCTTCTGCTCTTCCACTATGACATCAAGCAACACAAAAGCCCTCTCCAGGTTCTGGTGCCATGCTCTTGGACTCCCCAGCCTCCAGAAATGTAAGAAATAAATTTCCTTTCTTCGTAAATTACCCAGTCTATGGTATCCAAGTACAGCAACAGAAAATGGTCTAAGACAGTGTTCTTCAAACTCAGTGTAGAAAATACTGCCTTAATATTTAACTGTCTAGTACTTTTTTTTCAGACATGTCTTTTCAATCAGCTTTCCTACTAATGAATTCATTAATAAAAAAGGGAATGTACATTTCTATCTATTGCCTAAGTCAGCAATTGCCATGAGAGAGTGAATCGACAATTTGAGATCTCTAATAAGTAAAATAGCACCTATTAAACAAGGAAATCAATCTTAAGTCCAGAAACTACTAGCTGAAACTTCTCTTCACTCCTAATTTTTGGAGGATTACAATCTGGCTAAGGACATGCCACTTGAAAGAAGGCAGGAGGGGTAAGAGACTTAACATCTAAGTTTTCACCTGTTTGCCACAATGTCACCTGATTGAATACTGTTCGGTCAAAAGAGAGGGATATTTGTCTGTTTTTCCTTTTCTGTGACTGCTATTAATTGAAATCAATTGGTTTTTCAGGTTTTTCCGGGATTTTTCATTGAGATTTAGATCACAGGGATCAAAGCACCTATCTGTTTCTAAGGAATCAATCTATTTCTAGCCATCGGGACACTCATTGTCTAAAATCAGCCAATTATCAAATTTTTCAAAACTGCATTAATTGTATAATTTAGGATACTATCAGCACCTCTAAGAGACTAACTCTCAGAAACAAATTTACTACTCAACATTTACAGAAAATGGAGACACTTGACTTAGAAGCCAAAAATAAAAATAAAAAAAGCAGAAGACAGAGCCTTACAGATGAGCAGCATCTTCCAAGAGAAAGAACCAAGAGGTGAGGAGCAGAAGTGTTACAGATGTGACAAATATAATGTCATTTACTACCTAATTTCTCTCTCATTTATTCAACTATAATGTCAGAAAATCCATTCCATTTAATTTAGGCAAGGTTCCAAACAAAAACAAAATGAAAATACAAAGAGAGGGGCAGGAGCCTAAGAGGAATGAGTAGAACCTCTTTTAGTAATTATACATGTGTATAAATTTGTCAATTTCCTCTCAAATTTGACAGGAGTTTACAGCTGAATCTGATTGGCTCATGGTAAGTTAATCTAACAGTGAAAGAGAAAACTCACTTATTCCCTGGTCAGCTATTCTCCCTTTTTTTTCTGTGTCTTCTTTTGAGCCTCTAACTTTTAGTTTATTGGATATTCTTTGCCTACTTTTACCTTTATCTGTGCTATTTGGTACTTTTAATTCATTTTTTGACTTTCTTCTCTTTATCCCTTACTCTACTTTAAGTAGTGTCCATTGACTCTTGAATACTTTCCAATTTTGCCTTCATTTCTGATTAAATTATTTTGTTACTTTTCTAAGCACTACCAGGTCACATTTCATCTTTCTTCCTTATCTTGTTATTTTAAGCTAAAGTTCTATTTTTTATATTTTTTTTATAAAATGGTGATTGCTTCATGATTTCTTATATTAATGACAAGATATTTAGCTTCAATTTTTATCTTCTCTATGAAATAATTTTTCTTGTATTACTATTTTGCCATTTGTTTTTCTGTCCTTTTTCTTTCTTTTATATCTTATATATGTCTTATTTTTTATCTATGTATAGTTATTATATATAGTTATTGTATGTACATATATACATATATATATTTCTTGTTTCCTTTTGTTAGATTTCTCATCACTGTAGAGAGTGACTTTTACTTAGATCATGTTTTCTGTAGGTTTGTGTCATAGAAGAGCCGAGACCATGTTCCAAGACAGCAGCAATTTTCTTTGTGACCATGTTTTATACATTGAGCCCCGTAGCCTTTTATTTCCCATAAACAATTTAAAAAGGTAGCTTCAAGGCTTCTTGAAGAGCAGTGAAGTTTCTACAGCTGCTTTATTGACAGATAACTCCCACTACCTTATCTTTGTGAATGTCAGTTCAGCCACACTGCTTTTGATTTTGGATCACAACTGGGTCTACCAGTCCATGAAACCAATCTTCACAACAGCAAACTGGGTGCTGGTTTAATACTTTATAGTGTGACTGCAACTAACATTGGCCAACCCTACTGTATTGATTTCTCCAACATCTGACTCCCCTCTCAACTCCCTCTTCAATCTCTACTTTCTTTGATTTTGATAACTCATCTACTTATTTAGTAATTTGGGATTTTAGATTTTTCTTAGTTTAATTGAAAGTGAACTATACTTTTATGGTTTTTTTGCCCTTTTTTCCTTTCATTTGGTTTCCAAAAGGAAAAAGAGAAAATGCTGTCTTTATTTTCCTGTTGGAAATCCCAGAAAAAAGAATGAAGAGTTAACTAAAATATAGACAAAGAGGACTTTAATGTGGCCACCTAAATAAAATTCATAATAATGATAGCTATTATTATTAGAGCTAATATTCATTGACTATTTATGATATGCTAAGAACTGTCCTAAGCATTTCACATCTATCAGATTATTTAACCCTAACAGCAAATCTATGAAATAGTTGTCATTATAAGCCCTGTTTTACAGATAAGAAAACAAAGGCTTCAAAAGATTAGATAATTTACAAAATATCATACAGGTAGGAGGTAACAAATTCAGAATACAAACTCAGTAATCAGGCTTAAAGTGTGTATTTGTGATCATAATATATTTTCTTCTCAATACCTGAGGAGGTAAAATTGCTTTTTAGAGATTCTGTGACTTTTCTTGGGAGGCAGGAGGCACCACATAATCATGCTCTAATCAGAAACTACCTGAATGGACTATGCAGATAGGGTGGAAAGGAATTGACTGGTTCTGATAGGAAAATCCTGCTCGTGTTCCATGGACAAAGAGAGATAACAGGTTTTCATAACTGAAGTTGCATGTGCAGTCAGATCAGTGGAAAGAAGAAGGAGCTCATATGTCCTTTCAGGACTAGATCCAAGTCTAGTAAATAAAAACTGATGACCAATTGATTGAAATTATTGGTTGACTGATTTTTTTTAGCCAGAGGAGTTGCTCAGTATAGGCCAGAAGCCATATGCATTAAGATTTATTAAGTCATTAATAATGTCTATTCTGACTATATTACCAATATGACTGAAACAATGAAAATGTAACATTCATATTAGGATATTAAACATCAAATAATCAACTTTCTTGACTTTCCTGAAGAACTTTATTCTATCCAGAGTTTCTCCCACAGAACAAAAGAATATACATATGTGTATGTGTGTGTGTGTATACATATGCATTTATATACCACAGTAATAAGCCAAATATGCATTTCCATGAGGTTTAAATTAAAACCAAATTAAAACCAAATTTGTTCCCTAAGATCTGTCCACTAATAAGAGCATTGTGCTTTGCACCAAAAACACAACCTCTTATTTTATGTTAATATATATTCAAAAAGACAAGTGAAAAGACATAGATCTATTTTTATGTTATGCATGAAAAATTAGGTGGTTAATTTTCAAGGGCTGCCTCAATAAATCCCAATTGAATTAGCCAGTATTAGCATGTGGAAGTGATCACAAAACACTGCAAAAACACAATGCAAAATGAATGCAAATGGTTTGGCTCCAGATTTGATCAAATTAAGTGGAGGATTGAATTAACGAGTGAATGAAAATTAAGTGGAAATGGCAGTATTTCACAGCTAGTCAGCTGTGGCTACGAAACACAGCAGTGGAAACTTTAGACAACTATTCTGAACCTTTGGAGATGCGTCTCCAAAACTGTATGTACGCATCAGACGTAATGGCTTTGTGAATTGGTATTTAAAGT